TATGTGACGTATATGGTGAAATATGATGGTATGTGACGGTATATGGTAGTATATGACAGCAGCCCATATTTCTTAATGAGTCTTTCTGAGCTCAGATGCCTGTAACGCCATAGAGACCAACCTCTGGTGGAGCATGCTGATCACATACATCACATCAATACAGCAACATAGAAAGCGGAGCGTCTGCATTTATGGCGATATTTTGGCATTTCTAAATACCCTGGTGTACTGTAATACTGCCCAGGACTATATGACAGCAATATACAAAAGGCTGCCACCCTCATGAAAACATTCACTTCTGAGCCTGGCTCTCTTCCTCCTAAGCCATCCGTATTTGCTTTCCTGTCACGCAGCTGACAAATATAGATCACCTCTATCTAGCCTGAGCTGTATCCGTCTCCATTCTCTACCATACGGATGTGTCTTTTCCCACATGTAAAGTCCGTACCTTCCTAAACTCACTCATACAGCCACACACATAATGAACTCGTGGACTAGAAACTAGATTTTAGAAGAAAGGAAGATGTGGGACAAAGGGAGAGGTGACTGATCTTGGCTGAGGGACAGAAAACACAACCAGCTATTCAAGTCAGTGTACAATATGCACTTGTGCTGTGTAACATAGGAGTGCAATAAATGTTGAAATAACTACTCTTGGCCTCACTTTGGTCTAACTGTTCTTTACTGATTTTGAATCTATTCTAATGGAAGGAAGCCCCGTCACATTACAAAATATGGCAGTCAACCCGGGTGTGACGTCATTCCCAACTCCGACTTCTGACGTAGATGGAATGCAGCATAAATAACAATCCAGAGACACCAGAGTGGAACCGAGTTTATCGGATGGATCAGTCACGTTAAACCTCACAACAAAAATGTTGGTAAGTGTAGAAAAAGGGAAGCCCCTGGGCTTACTTCAGGCACACTGGCACCGAGCCAAGGACGCAGTTACGGTGCCTTTGTTAGTTCAGAGCATATTATAATGAAGTACAACTACAGGGAGACTGATCCTGTCTACAAAAAAAGGTCTGAGTAATCTACGTTGTTGGTTCTTATGGCATACTTGTGTTCTTTATTAATATTGAACTTGTCGCGAGTCCAAATTGCACCAAATTTGACAAAGCACTCCGTTGGGTCCTTAGCAAAACACCCACCAATTGTGAAGTAGACCGGATGAGCGGTTCTCGAGATATGTAAGGAACACACATACAGAGATTCCTCAGTCTATAGTTTATTTGTTGTTAAATGTTAGAAAACCAATATTATTATTTTTAACTCATTTTGATGTTTTACTATCATTTAAGGGAGCTCATCCTCCTTTGTGAGCTGATAAATTATAAAACGTTTTGGTTTATGAAACCCCTTCAAAAGTAAATACATTTTTACTGAACCAGACAAACGTCAACAGGCATGCCTTCATGTTTTCTGATAAAACTAAATTGATCTTATTTTCAGCCACTAAACGATATTCAAACACCAATAAAAACAATAATCTTACCCACGCAGGACCACACTAATGACTTGGTGGCGCTAAGACGATTTTGTAAAAGAGCTTTATTGGAAATCTTAACTGCTTTTCAATGATTTTGGTAGATAAATCAGAATATCTACACGATTAGTTTCAGGTTTGTTTTTCTTTTTTTTGTACTACTTTCAAAAATAACTTAGCAGAAATGGCTTTTTGAAGATTCGTGGAACTATAAAGTAAAAACCTTTAGATTGTGAGGACTAAGTTATAAGCGATCATTTATTTTTGGGTTTTGGATAAAATACTTCATATTCTAGATGTCTGATTGTCAGAAAACAAATATTTTTGTTTACCTCTGTGTATTGGTTCAAACCCATCCTATAAAACTGGACGTTAAATTAATTTTGTTGCTCTACATGCTCTAAAGCATAACTCAAAGTACTGGCGTGAGATGGGGTTATTACCTCTGCAGTTTATGATGTGATAAAATGTATCTTTCAAATGTATCTCCCGGTAACGAACACGTAGGTGAGTTGAAAAGAAAGAGACAGAGAACTTAAGGGAACATAAAGCACAGAGTCACATGTGGGGAGCAGAAGAGCCTGTGTAGACGCAACTGAGTCAGGGGTTTCCACTTGTGCACACAATGTCCAGCTGGGAGAAGTTAGTAGCCAGCTGGGGACCCGGGTGGGGGAGAAATATATAAAGCGGGGGGGGTATGTGGGTCTGGCGTGCAGGAAATGTAGTGCCTCAAACACCTCTTTTCCTGAATTCTGGTGAATTTTTATTCACCAATTTAGTTTTATGGAAACATAAAACTCTGGTGCCAGGTGATAATACGAAAATACAAAAAAGACAGATGTCCGTACGGAAGTGTTTCTCCAAATAGTTTCAGAAAGGAAAAGCCTCTGAAAAAGTATCAAGTCCATCACGGGATGATACATCTTTTTAGGGTTCGATTAAATACAGGGACACCCACCACGTCTCCTCAGTGGTCTCTCCCCGAGCCTCAAAATAACCTCAGTGAAAAGAAACAAGAGCAAACAGAAGAAACAGAGTGTGGGGCTGTCCTTCGGTGTTCCCAGAGGGAGATCAAGATCCCTGCTGTCTGAGATGATCCATGATCCATGATGATACAATAATCTGTTGTGCTTATTGAACAAGCCCTGACATGAGCTCCTCCCCTCCAGACCCTCCGGATACAAAGGTAAACACCAGACATTACCCTGACAGATCCATCTCTCTCTCTCTCTCTCTCTCTCTCTCTCTCTCTCTCTCTCTCTCT